AAAATGTATATAGTATGGTGCAGTAAGAAGTATGTGTTTTAGATCTGATTTTTAAAAGCTTATAAGTCAAGGTGAAAGAACCCTGGTATGATTACTGGGTATAAAGAAGTATCACATGCAGACATGTTGTCACGGACAGCGCTGTGTATATACACTGCTCCCGTCACGTGTCCACATGAGACACGTGCAAATTGGTGAGATCAAACCAGTCAGAGAGAGAGAGAGACAGAACGAGTCCTCTCTGGTCCATAGTTCAGAGCTCTCTGATTACGTTACTGTACACACACACACACTGACAGCTACACACACATACCACAGCACACATCGTTTATTTTTGGGAGCTGTCCTTCTGCCTGATGCCTGGTAGATACATGCTCTGCTGGACCACCACTCTTGTGTGGACTCCACCTGATATCAACAAACCGCTATCAGTGTAACCAACGGGATTATGGGAATTTAGAGTGAGCTTCTCCCTCCCTCCTTCTAAAGAATAAGATGCCACTATTTCCAGACATTTAGTTCTAGACAGATGTAATTAGATGTATGTGGCTGCTGTACTTACAGTATTTCCTAGGTTCTTTAGTCCCACAAGGCCTTGGGCACTCTTTGAATTCTGAAAGACAAAAGACACAATATTTACGGCATGAAAACTAGATTTATGTATTTAAATTCACCCAATAAGAAAGAAATGTTCATCTGGTCAAAACATATTCTTCCAGCCATAATTAGGTTGCATGTATTTATTGTTGTCTTTGGTGTACTGCAGTACATATTGTTTTGTTGGTATGTATTGTAATTAAGTTGACTGGGTACAATAAAGTGTATCTGATCTAATAATTAACAGTGAAAACCTTTAAATGTACCAAGCCTGGTTTTTATTTCAGAAACCATAAGACATGTGAACAGTAAAAATCTACAACTTGAAACAGAAACAGTGTTGCATTATGGTGTGTGATTAACTTCCTTCTGTGTATGAATAATACCAAAACTTTTAGTCTTTGTCTGCAGTGTTGATCAGTAAGATTGTTCAGTAAGAGAGGAAACTTTTTTTTCAACTGATCTGAAATACATAAAAGTCCAAATAGAATCTGTGATGCATACTTGTAGTAGTGACTCCTGTTTTAATGAGAGATTTCCAGATGGGTACTGCTTTTATCTCGCTGTGACTAGAGTGTCGTCACAGAGTTACATTTTGGTGAGGCATTACCCCCCCTTAATAACTTGTAAAGTAAACAATCTGTAGCACATGCATAACTACATTTCTGATTACTGAAAGATAAAGAATGAATTAAAAAAAACATAACAGAAAGATATTCTCTTATATAAACTGAAATCACTGATTGTTCAACCACCGGATACATATATTCAGCACTACGTTGTTCCTTCAGGCTGTATTTGTACCTTAATAATATCCTAAGGAAGCTGGAGAAAGAGCGACATATGACAAAGATGTGATCTATGTACACTTTGCGCTTGAATGTGTGTGCTGTGTCCGTCTAGGAATGACAAGACAGGAGGCTTTTCTTGGTGAGCATTATCTTTAGAGAGGAACTTGTTTTTGTTATCTCGTAGTCAGTTCCTCTCCTGGTAATCACTCCCAGATGGCAAAGATCTGATCAACAAGAGTAGATAACACAGAATCACCGCACCTTAAGGAGTTTCTGCACTGTAGCTTTCGCTGTCGCACATTCTCAGGGCATCAAACCGTGAAAGACTGCACACACATTTTATCTCAGTGAAACAGATGGCGAAGCATATTATCATCATTTCAAAATCTTAAAATGGTACAAAATGCTTTGCAGAACTTATGTCATCGCTTGCTGCTGTTACATTTCATTATATAAGTTGAGTGGTTATATAATTGAGTAGCTGGAGGAAGAACTAACAAAGAACACGGGGGTGGATAAGGAATGCACTTGTGCCCTCGACTAAGGAGCAGAGGCTGCAGACAATTATGCTTTAGAAAATATAAGCTGTGCCAAATTTAATTTATTTTTCACATCATTCTATCCACCAGCATCACTGAACCAACTTCATGCCCTGTCAAAGGGCACGTCATATCGGTCATGTTATTTGATTTTTTTGTAATTGTGATATTTCACAAGCTATTTCTAGATCAAATTACTGTCAGAAAATGACAACAGAGTATTTATAGAGTGATCGGCTTCAATTTTAATATAAAAACAAGCTGACTAGTGGCCAAGCAGAGAAGCTCACAGCATCGTAACTCGATCTTGTATTTTCTAGGCAGAGAGCAACTCTGCAGGGCCGGCAGCTTAACACCAGTCACCTGATCTCACTGGCAGTTGAAATCTATCTTACCCACATGCCCCCGTTCCCCCTTACCTGTGGTGAAGCTAGGGCACACTCACTGAGAGCACTATGTATCAGGACCACCATGAAAGCTGTCCAAATCCAAGGCGAGGCCAAACACAAGCTACAGTCATTTAACTGTTCACTAGCTATATCAAAGAGAGCGTGTAAAGATGAAGGGGAACTGGTTTTTAAAGAGTGTTAAAGCCCGAATTAGGCAAAAGGGACAGTATATAAAAAGTGATTGTGATAGCTTGTGATCTGTGTGAGTGTGTTCCTACCAAAGTCCTCATCTTCTGGTTTGAACACAATCAAACATGTAGTTAGATGATGTAAATAGCATACAGTGCATGCTAGAGAGGTTGGCCCAGCTCCTGCATACTGACACCCCACATGTGACCTGACAACCAGCACTGTTCAAAAGGACACAGACTCATCCTAAAGTGCGAGTGGCCACAGTCTGTACACTTGATGACCTCGCTGACCCAAAGGAGTAGTCTTCTGTGATCACACCGTTCAAAAGGGTAATCTAATAGTCTAATAGTGTCAGAAGGTGTCATGTGAGTGTGCTGGGAAACTCTCTGTATTGTTACAGTATCCTCATCCTGCTGTGCATCAACATAAATAACAGGGTTGGGCTGAGCTGGAGATGAGGTGATATTAGGCTAAACATCATTTCTGTTGAGCAGAATGTTTAATATGAAGCTGTGGGAGTGAGTAAAAGCGGGTGGCCATCGTGTATGGATCAACATAAAGTAGTAGCTCTATTTTTGGGCTCCACCAACCAGAGGGAAATATCTGTCTCTGTAGCTGCTGAATCTTCCACTGTGTTCACCAGATAACTGCTGCCTTAGTCGGTCTGCTGTTTGGTGATTTTGGTGATTGGCTTTTCCTGAGTCCCGCCCCTTTTTGCTCTGTGCTCCAACAGTTGAGCGAGCCTCGGTCGGAACCTCGGTCAACTTTCTCCCTTCCTGTACTGAGATATGCTATGTGCTAATGTTGCCTTTATCTTTTAACCATCTTCATGTGGTTGTTTTTTCATCATAGGTAGACCTAGCACATAGCATATCTCAGTACAGGAAAGGAGAAAGTTGACTGAGGTTCTGACCAGGACTTGCTCCATAGTCAGTGGAGCTCAGAGGGAAAAGGGGAGGGGCTAATGAAGGGCCAATTCTCTGTGGGTCACTATGATCAAACTGCTCATAATTAATATAAAGATAATAACATTTTGTTTCTACATGGAAGATCTTCAGCTGCATCGCAGGTTTAGACAAAGGACACTGAATGTGACAGCAGATATCAAAGCGAGTAGTGCTGTCCTCCTGCTGTTAGCCTTCTGGAAGGAGGTACACATAATTGGGAGCATGCTCGTTTGTTCATCAGTAACGTGAGCCTGCAGCTTATCTAGTTATGAGCACTGATAGAGGAAGGGCTTTTTACTATTATATAAACAACCTCTGCCATCTGTCTCTTATTCAGGAGAGAGAGGCAGTACAGTATGCGCAGGGGAAAAAATCTACAGCTTAATTAACTATGGCTTATCTAAATCCTCCTTTCTGTAAATTCCACTGTAGTGAATGGAACACTTTATTTCCACGAC